TTCCACAACATCCTATAATCTATTCCAAGTTTAAAAGCCAGACATGTACCATAAGGTTAAGCTTCACAAGGCTAGTAAGAAGTGTCAGTACGTTTTATGTCAATGTAACTATTTAGTCAACGTTCTACTTTTAGGAAAAGAAGGGGAAATAAACTCTAATATGTTCAACTTCAGGCAACATACGATAGAATTTGGCAGTGTATAATGGCAGATTATCAAATGGCAGATTATATAAATTTCGAAAAAGCAACTGGCCCTTTCTTACTTGGCTTTTGGTGAGCGCCCTTCACCAGTCTAGTCTTTTCTTAGGCTTTCCTTCTACAATTGGTCAGCTGAGCGTGCTGAGTGGAGTTATCGGCTAGGCATCTGCCTGTTTTCGCAACCAGCCGTTAGGCAGCGTTCGGGTGCAAAATTACGCAATTTACAAAACGGTAACTATTTATTTTACAATAAAAGTATCAAAGTCTTTACTGTTGTAAGATTTCGTTAACTTACACATAAAACGGTCGCTGCCGTGTGTACGGATTTAAATGAATTGATCTTGTATCCAACACATTTTTGACAATATTAAGCAGGATTGCTAACGCCTCTCTTTAATATAATTTACAGAAAGCAATTTGTGTGATTGGAGTTAAAAAAAAAGTTGAGATTATTTGGGAGACTTAAAGAAATAATAATTTCTTCTGGAGCTCTAATAAGATCCTTTGATAAAATATGGTATTATTATGGAGGATAAGAAACGGCTTGAATGTGGCCGGCTGCCCCTGGCAGGTCCCCTCCCCCCACCTAGCCGCTCTATTGTATCAACTCATATCACAATAGTTTCATCTTTTGTCCCTAGTTACAAAGGATACCTCCCCGCTCGGCAATTCATTTGCTAACTTCTGTTAGCTAAACCTGGTCAGAAGATGGAGATTTACCAATTTGTCATTATCTGAAAATGTATGAAGAAATAGATTATGTGCCTGAAAAATGGCGTATCTATACTAAATAGTGGTAACCTCCATTAGGAAGAAAAAAAGTTTACATTCGTTTTTCGCACCTTCGATACGAAATACGAATTTTCATAGTAGTTAAACCATTAAATTTGTAAGTTCAGGATTTTTTACTATAGCCTGTCTCTATTTTATTTTAAAACTTTATCTCTAGAGAAGCTTAGTACGTACACCATATTCATTTCTATAATTATGATACTCCAATTAGTATAAATTAACACCATTAACAATATATGTATTACATAATTTTTGAAATGTCATGGAATTATTATAAGATCATTCTATAAACATAAATGATAAGAACATAGGACTCCTCTTTGTCGCCATCTTACTGAGTGCTGAGGATTTACTGTCAGTACCCTCCGTATTATCGCAACTATTTAGTAACTAAAGTTACCCTACCTTATTTAATTTATTATTATTTGAATTTTTATGGATGGCTATTATTTGTGAATAGTGTTGTGAGATGTGGGCCGCTTCCTGTTTTGAATTTAGCACATTTTTTTCATTTATTTCGTTTATAATATAGAGGGCGCTGACAGTAAATCCCCAGAACTCAGTAAGATGGTGTTGGACAAAGAGGAGTTCTATTCTCGGAAAAAGCTGACATTAGACGAAGAACAAGGACACTGTTCTTATCCTTTAGGTTTTAAATAGACAAAACTAATAAAAGGTATGATGGCATGATCTGGTAATAATTGCATGACATTTCAAAAATTATGTAATACATGTATTGTTAGTGCCATTAATTAACTGTTAATTTATACTAATTGGAGTATTATAATTATAGAGATGAATATAGTGCATGGACACCGACAGCTTTTCTACAAATCACTAGCGGATTCAGGATTTAATTATGGGAGGAGGCTTCAGCCTGAAAGATTTTTTTTCATATATATATATATGTTTATATATGGTCTCAGCCCAAAAGCTCACCTCCCCGTGGATCCACCATTGCTTCTATGGTATATTTTTCTTCTGACCAACAGAGAAACACCTATTTATAAATTTGACATCCAAATTATGACACTCCACAAGATTCAATTATTTTAAATAAACCATGATAAGTCTATACAGTTTAAGAATAATCTACTGCTTATTCTCATTGTTTTACAGTTACATTCACAGTAGAAGTCCAAGATGACCTTAGTCGCATTTTTAATAAATGACGGATGGAACCAGGTCAGCTATTAAAACCTAATAAATTTGAGACCTAATCAAGTAAATTTAAATAAAATCATAATGATTTATTTAAGAAAAATATATTAAAAAGTAAATAATTTAATAACAATACCAATAGTAATGGACTACAATATGATAAATGCCGGTTGAGCATCGGGTCGGCTCTATAATAGACAGTTTGGTTCTATCTGCTGCAGTGTAGATTGCTCTATTAATCCTATCCCATAACTAGACCTGCAATGGATAGGTCAATCTGTTATGCCTCTGCTATGGAGATAGCTAGTTAATCCTGAAGATTCAGGAAAATGGAAGCTATTTTAAAAAACAAATTTTTTTTCAAATACGCTGCAGAGGTCAATCCATGCTAACCTTTCTAACTAAGAGAAGTTATAGGACATAACATTTCTTTTTTCCCACCGTGAGTGCAAATGATCATATTATAGAACAATAAAAAAGAATCCTTAATAGGTTAGTGGGGCCACGTTGGTAGAGCGAGTTAAGGTGCCTGCAAAAATTTTATATCAAGTGTTCAAATGCCATTCGAGGAAATTACAAAAAAAAAAAAAATGGAAAAAATTAAGGTGAGCGACCCATGTGTCTTACACCATAGTTTCTGGTCTTTCAGGTTGTTTATAGAACTGATATTCCTCTGAGTGGAGATTGCTGCAAAAGATTGCCAAATATCCTTCAGGAAAATGCGTGATGAAGAGGAAGTGAATTGTGATTGCGTCCGGTTAGCAAAACACGGTCTGCTCCCTTGGGTATCTTGAAGATGAGAACCTAAGGATCACTGCTGCCGCCTTTAGCTGCTAGAAGACTCATGGTTATCTCTCTCTCTCTCTCTCTCTCTCTCTCTCTCCTCTCTCTCTCTCTCTCTCTCTCTCTCTCTCTCTCTCTCTCTCTCTCTCTCTCTCTCTCCTCTCTCTCTCTCTCTCTCTCTCTCTCTCTCTCTCTCTCTCTCTCTCTCTCTCTCTCTCTCCTCTCTCTCTCTCTCTCTCTCTCTCTCTCTCTCTCTCTCTCTCTCTCTCTCTCTCTCTCTCTCTCTCTCTCTCCCTCCCTCTCTCTCTCTCTCTCTCTCTCTCTCTCTCTCTCTCTCTCTCTCTCTCTCTCTCTCTCTCTCTCTCACTCTCTCTCTCTCTCAAAAAAAAAAAAAATATATATATATATATATATAGTTAATGGGACTTGTTCAATGATGAAGTACATTAAGATCTTCACTCGGAATGGACTAATTCAACGTATTAAAAATGATATAGGCGTCATTAAATGGAAATATGAAATAATCTTGGAGTAACTGTCGCCCTTAGAAGACGAAGCCAAAAATGTTAAGAAGTCAATCGTGCATATTTTTATTCAAATAAGACGTTGATAATAGAAATACTAATACATATTGAAATATTGTTTATGTATTACATGTATGGTAATGGCGCATGTTCAGATTTTATTGTTTGTATTTTTCTAAGAATTATAATAGGCCATATTTTTTGTTGATAATGATTCAAACGACTAAATTCTCAAGTTAGAAAAGTTAATGAATTTATAGGTTTTAGATTATTTAACTCGGAATCAGATTATTATTTAAGCTTGTATCTGACCCTAACGACTATTTTATTGTGATGACTAAAAGATGTTTCATAAAGAAATTAAAAACCTTAAAGTTTTGAAGTCTTCCAAGTTTTAATATTAGTGTTGCCCAATTAGGCAATCTGTTAGCACATTGCAAGACCAAGACCAAGGGCGCCTAATTGTTGCAAGACCAAGACCAGATGACTGGTAAAATAAATCGATCTTTTTAATAAAAATTAAGGCAAAATAGTTACTAATACTCATCAATCTTAGTTACTCTATGTTAATAATTGGTATAACCAATATACTTTTGCATTTAACTCCTCTAATTTTTCATTCGGGATTAGTTACGTTTCTCCTATCTAAAAAATTATATTTATATCTCTGTAGTAATAAGCTAATAAGTAACTGCCAGATTGTTGCGAGACTCTTGCGCAAGACCAAGACCATGACCAAGACTGAGTTTGCAAGACCAAGACTCGTCTCGGTCTAGTATTTGGGCAACACTATTCAAGATGCAATGCGGTGTATCAAAATATTACTATTTGTTGGTGAGAGAATTCGTTTCTTAATCTAGGCCACCTCTGCCAGTCTAGTTTATATAATGTGCAGTAGTTGCGCAATTTTGGATGTCAAGAAAGAGTTTAAAGTCTGCTGCCACTACATCCAGCCATCTTGCTTGAGGTTTTCCAACGCTGTGGTCCGAGGTAGGACCTCTGTCATAGAGTTTTGTACCCAAAACACCCAGGTAACTCAGTGTTGTTAATCTTGCTGCATGACAAGCTTGACAAACTTCATCACGTCCGTATTACTTTGTACCACTCATAGAGTTTCTTATTTGTGCGGGTTCGCCTAACAACGTTCTTGAAAAATATAATAATGTTTTTCACTTTCTAGGCTGTTATCTGCGGTGATTATACGAAGTTATCACCAGAAAAGTTTATTACTCATCAAATACTAGAAGACTTGCTTATACATTTTCAGGTCTATTGATGATGTGTTGTTTCATTATGTTATTAATGTCAAAACATGAAAACCTTTTTTTTTAAATTATGAGGAATCATACCTAAGCCTCGGTTTTGGTACAATTAAGATAACAATTCATTACAGAAGCTAATATTGAATTGAGTTCATTTTTATTTTGGGTGAACGAATCTATTTATTCAAAGCCTTTGAATCGATCACATCATTTCATTAGTAACGAACAGAGCACGTGTTGATACAGAATATTTAGACTTTGTAAGGCTTTGGACTCACTTGGGTGTCGACCTCGGCGACGCTGAGCCTGTAGTGGAGGATCTGGGAGAGGCTGAGGGCGGTCTGGAGGATGACGGCGACGATGGGGATGAAGGGGAGGACGACCATCTGGAAGTGGTAGCATTTGCGCCATTTCTTCTGCGCCGGGTCCGGCCTCACCCCGCACCACTTGCCGCTTTCTCCTTCTGAGACCTCGTCAACCTCAGACATCTATTCGGCGGTCGTCGTCATCTGATCCACTGGGGAAACAAAACAATACATAATTAGTCTCATGTTATCTTTCGTAAGTCCAGAAATCATTACTAAGACAAAAATATTCATAAAACGTTGGTAAATAAGATATTAAGCACGTCTTAAAATTCTCTGTCTAGTTGATTTTCGCTTTCAATTTATAGGATAAGTCAGAAGGAACGAGCCAAACTGCAGGCGTGGGTTGCACAGAGGAAAAATAATTTTAAAAATTCATATGTTATCAGATTTAAAAAAAATATATATTAGTCCGTGGTACACACCCCTTTTTGTCAAATTAACAACATCCGCCTGAAACTTCGTAACTTCATCTCATCCTAATCTACAAATATTTTATTTACGAAAATTCTTAGAATTGGGGTCTTTTTAATCTGGAGATCGACTAACTTTGTGTATTTAATTGGGTATCAAAAAACTCATAAATACCCATTTGCTTTCCACTTGAATCGTAAGATAATATCATCACAAAATCGAGAACAAAGTTGCCTACAAAAATATTGGACAGTTTGGCCTATATAACCTCGTTATTTTGACATTTTGGAGATAGAGGTTACATCAAACAGTCCAATATTTTTTCTTTCCATTTTGTGATTAAATAATTTTACGATTCAAGTCGTAAGCAAATGTGTATGAGTTTTTAGTACTTAATTTTTTTTTTGTATTGAATATTAATACATTCTGCCACATTAAAGGGCAAGTACTTAATTAAATAGACAATGTTTGCCGATCTCGAGATTGAAAACACCCCAATTCCGAGAATTTTCGAAAATAAAATATCCAAAGGATACGATGAGATAAACATAATTATGAAGTTTAAGGCGGGTGTTAATAGTTTGATAAAAAAGGGTTCTGTATCACGGACTAATATAATACCTTTAATCAAATGTTCACTTTTAATTTAGAGGATGGGAATGAATTAAAAGGGCGCAAAAATTAATCTTATCTTGCGAAAAAAACTCTAGTCTTAATTAAACTTAAAATTAAAGTATTAAGGCGTTTTCAATCTGGAGGAGAGCAAACTTTTTGTCTATTTATTTAGGTACTAAAAACTCGTAAATATCTATTTGCTTTCCACCTGAATCGTAAGATAATATGAGCACGAAATCGAGAAAAAAGGTGGCCTTCAAAAATGTTGAGTCGTTTGGGCTTATTACACCTCCTAATTGTCAAAATAACGAGGTTATAATAGTACAAACGGCCCAAGATTTTTGTATCCCTCCTTTTTTACCGATTTACTGATCAAATTATCTTACGATTCAGGTGGGAAGAAAATGGGTATTTACGAGTTTTTAGTACCTAATTAAATAGATAAAGTCTGCCCCCTTACAAATTGAAAACACCCAAATTCCAAGAGTTTTCATAAATAAAATAGTTGTAGGTTACGATGAGATGAAACTATTTACGAAGTTTCAGGCGGATGTTAATAATTCGATAAGAGGGGTTTGTACCATGAACTACATTGGAGAATTAAAAATAAACAAAATTTCACAAATCAAAAATATTTCATACATGTCTTAATAAATTGGAAAGTTTTGGTATTAGCATTATAATTTTGTTTACAACAGTGTGTAATCCTATTACTGTCAGATTATAATGTATGTTAATTGTGCCAGTGACCATCACAGTGATTTAATGCTTATTATTATTTGTATCATTAAAGCCTTACAAAATTCCAAATACCTATTCACAAAGAGATTATGCAAATATTTTGTGTGTTTGTAGTTTATGCAATGTGACTGATCCAGCTGCTGCTAAGAAACATCGGAAACGGTTTTCTCATCAAAAACATCCCGATAGAAAGGTCCAATTAATTGACTTCAAAATATTGGATTACAGTTTATCAGGCTGGTTTAAATATGAAGTATACAAAGTAAAAGTATACATGCACAAATTTATCACATTAAAAATTCTGTAGACTGATGCCTAAATAATTAAAAGGAAGATATGAAACAGTCAGGAGGACAATTGAAAATGTTCGAAGACGAAATTGAAAATATTAAGAAGTCAATGTAGGTGATCATTTATTACAATAAGACTTCGATAATGGAAATGCTAATACATCTATGAAATATTGTTTATTTGTGAAATTTTGTTTATTTGTAATTAGCCATTAAAATTTAAACAAATGGAAATCGAATAAGAACATATGAGTTTTTTTTCATTATTTTCTTGTATGCAACCCTCTCGTGAAGTTCGACTTGCCCCACATGTCAGGTAATATTGCAGAAAAGTTTAGCAATGTTATTCAATACTTTCTAAAAATAAGTAATGTTATTGACACAGATACACTTTTCCAGAATATATAAGTCTAGTTTCCGTAAATAATCATATTAATTTTCCAATTTTTTTAAAACGTCATTCTAAACCCGTCAATGGAACATGGAACTTAGTCTTGGAACACAGCCCAAGAATAGTCTTTTTCATGTTTTATCATTAAGCTTAAATCCACTGCCTTCTTAATGCCTTTTTCTATAATCAGACCATAGTCGAACATGTAATGGTATAGGTATTATAAGTAGTTTCGTTATTTTTTATCTGGTAGATTTATGCCTTATATTATAATCTATATTTATTTCTCAACTTTTCTTATCAATATATAATAATACTAAAGGATAACTCTTAGATATATTCGTTGCAAACAATACAAAAATATAGGATTTATAAAGTTTACCATACCAATAAAATTATGAAGAGTACTTAGCTAAAACCTCCTTCATTAAAACCACAATGTTTTGAAAATCGAGAAATATTTCATTAAGTTTCGTTAAGCAATGGTATTAAAAATGTACGTTTTTGTAGTTATCACTTTGATAAGTGCTAAAAAAAAAAATTAAATTTACCTCCACCATGGTTCCATATACTATATATTTCATTAGACATTGTTTTTATGTCACATATCAAATTGCCTTCCATACTTAAAAACCTAAACATAACGATTAACAAATTTTAAAATTTGTTTCAACTTAATGATAAAGGGGTTAAATGTTTTAAATGATATTTTAAAGATAGTTGTATGCAAGAGAACGGTAAAACTGGACAAAATTAAACATTATAATCACATTCACAGTTGAAAATACAGGAAACATGATAAAGTATAAAGAGATATTATTTACGAGGAAAATACAAAGGAAGGATCTGAGGTCTTTTTTCCGCCGTTATTTCAGAAATTAAAAGATATGTTGGGTAGAGGAAAAAGTAATTTCGATTTTTTTTAAATGTTATTTGATTCGATTTTTTCGGAATAAATTTCATTCACTAACCAATGCTATATGTTTTGATCGATGACCTATTGCCACTTTTCTGGTAAAACCATAAGTCCGTCACCGTAGTATTTCGGGGAAAAATGCAGAATCAAGTGATTTTCATCACAGTTTCCTACAGAGACTGGAACAAATATAAGTCCACTTGGCAAGGGCCGGTCTATACAATGGATGCACCAAAACTTTTCAGCGAAGGTCCTCAATCTTTGTCGGAACATTAGAGAAGTGTGTGGTCTAGCATTGTCATGATGAAAAACAACTATTTTCCTATTGATCAATCCTGGCCGTTTTTCTTGAATCGCCTGCTTCAATGGCCAGGTTCGAGCAGCTCATGATGAATAATTCCTTTCCAATCCTTGTCATATATCTAGTGATAGGCACCCACCTTGGAATAGACGAGTTCTAGAGAAAAGACAATCTCTTCAATTATTTTAAAAAAATATGGTGTGTCCACTCATATGACTTTTCTATAGATTTTAAACAATGTTTTTTTTTCAATATTAAATATATCCTTTAATAATAACACAGTTGAATTAGACTAATAATTTTCCTGATAACCGATCAGAGATATCGATTTCTTTAATTAACTAAATCAATGTAAACGGACAAGTGAACAATTATTAAAATTAGCCTACAAAATTCAGTAACCTTTAACGTTGCTAAAACCTATTTAGACGAATTTTAATAGTTATGTCGTGAATTTAATAACCTTTAAAAAAATGTTAACACTACATACGATATTACTGTTATTTTTCAGAATGGGAAAACCTGACTAAATCCTAAATGAAAAATTGGAAAACTTAATTACAAAAGTATATTGGTTCGACCAATGTTTTACATATAGTAACTAAAATTGTCTAGTATTAGTAACTATTTAAAAGTTTTTTTGTTTTTTTTGGACCAGTGCGCAAAGTGCAAGACCAAGACCTATTGTGGGCAACACTATAGGATGTTGTGACCTTTCAAACCCACAATAGAATGGCTTCATTAAAAAAGGGTTACAAGATATAAGAGACTTTAAAGTCATCTATTGGGATAAAACGAAATTACTTTTCCCCCAACCCAATATTTATCTTTTAGGGATTCGTTTATATTTAATCCACTCTGCTTTTAATAATGGAAAATTCTGAGTCGAATTACTGCAATAAAAGTCTTTTTCAAGGTAATGGGATGGTGAAGAGATTAGATGTAACATCAGAATACGGATTGGAACCTCATCGGTGGTACAACTTCTGTTAGAAAGTCATTAAAATATATATATATATATATATATATATATATATATATATATATATATATATATATATATATATATATAAATAAAAATTCAAAGTCACATAAACAAATATTCAATGATAGGTATCACTGAAAAAAGGTATCAGAGTTATACTAACAGCTTCTTATGTTATCATATAATTGTTTTACGGTTGTCGTCTTAGTTTTTTACGCAACTTCTATCTCATTATTGTAAGCTACTAATCAATTTGTGGGCTTAAAAATTTAGGTTATGTAGTCACTGGTTCTTCAGGACCGTGAAAAGTGTAATATGATTTAAGCGAATATCTTCTTAATAAATAATTGTCTTAATGATACCAATACTCGCTTTTTAACATTAATACAATCAGATCTATTAGCGTTTAAAACTTACACCTGAAGCGTCTGAATGTAATTCTGTGTTCGCTTCAATATTCTAGGTTTTTTTCTTCCCATGAAGTATCAGCACAAATGGTTTCA